ATTAAAAAAAAAAAAAAAAAAATTAAATTACTTCCTGGTTTGTTTAGCTCAGTGAAGGTAAACTCAAGAGGCAGTAATTACCCAGAGCACCTGACTTGCAAAGGCTGCATCGGGAAGTCTATGATTGGGCAGTCACAGAAAGTCTGGGCGGGGTGTAATATCTGGTTTGTGTTTCCTCAGTTGAATACCATATATACTCGAGTATATGCCGAGTTTTTCAGCACATTTTTTGTGCTGAAAAACCTCAACTCGGCTTATACTCGAGTCAGTGTCTGTATTATGGCAACTTACATTGCCATAATACAGACTGGGGGCTGGCAGAGCTGTTACTTACCTCTCCTGCAGCTCCTGTCAGCTCTCTCCTCCTCCGCGCCGGTCCGGTCAGCTCCTCTCTCAGCTCACACTGTAAGTCTCGCGAGAGCCACACTATGACCCCGCGGCTCTCGCGAGACTTACAGTGTGAGCTGACAGAGGAGCTGCACGGACCGGCGCGGAGGAGGAGAGAGCTGACAGGAGCTGCAGGAGAGGTAAGTAACAGCTCTGCCAGCCCCCCTCCTCCCCCACTGAACTGCCAATGGACCACCAGGGAAGGAGAGCCCCCTCCCTGCCATGTATCAAGCAGGGAGGGGCCGAAAAAAAAATAAATAAAATAATATTAACTTAGGACGAGGGCCCGGTTCAGGACCGTCATCGGCATTTTCTGCCGACCGATGACGGTCCTGAACCGTCCTAACGGTCTATTACTTACCTGATCGCCGTCGTTCCCCCGGCGGCGATCAGCGTGGCTCCGGTTGTGGGGAGACTGCCTGCAGCCCAGACAGTCTCCCCACGGCAGATTAGGACCCCTGTGGCCATGTGATCGCTTAACACAGCGATCACATGGTCACAATAGGTGTCCATAGTGTCTGCCTGCAGGGGGACTGTCTGTGCTGACAGGCAGTCTCCCTGCAAGTGTAAAATCAGAAAAAAATAAAGTTAATGGTAATAAAAAATAATAATAATTATATATGTGTAAATATGATATATAGACATATATTATATCTATATAATATATGTCTATATATCATATATATAATGTCATACTAAGTGTATTTTTATATTAATATGTACTTATATTAATATAAAAATACACTTATAATTAAATTACACACGTATATATATAATATATATAATAACTATATATATTGTATATATATATTATTATAAAATATAAATAATAAGTAATTTAAATTAAATAAATTTTTTTTAAATAATAATAAAAAATTAAAAAATTATATATCTATATGAAATTTTATTCTAACTGTATTTTAAAATTAATATATATATATTTATATCAAAATACACTTAGAATGAATTTGTATATATATCTATGTATATAAAAATAAATAAAAATAATAAGAAATATACATACGTCCATATACAAAATTACATAAATAATTATATAAATATACACGTAGACTTCAAATATATAAATATGCATATATATTTAAATTCTACGTGCGTATTTATGTAATATTTTTACATAATTCAGTAATTTTATTGATTGCAATTTGAGGGACCTGCCTGCCAACCCAGGCCGAAATTCCAGAGAATTTAATTTGCTAGCACTGTATTTTACCCTGTAACGTTCTACGACACCCTAAAACCTGTACATGGGGGGTACTGTTTTACTCGGGAGACTTCGCTGAACACAAATATTAGTGATTCACAACAGTAAAACATATCACAGCGATGATATTGTCAGTGAAAGTTACTTTTTTTGCATTTTTCACACACAAACAGCACTTTTACTGATGATATAATTGTTGTGATACGTTTTCCAGTTTTTAAACACTAATATTTGTGTTCAGCGATGTCTCCCGAGTAAAACAGTACCCCCCATGTACAGGTTTTATAGCATTTTTGAAAGTTACAAGGTCAAATATATGGGTCAAATATTTTTACATTGAAAATGGCCAGGTTGGTTACGTTGCCTTTGAGAGCGTATGGTAGCCCAGGAATGAGAATTACCCCCATGATGGCATACCATTTGCAAAAGAAGACAACCCAAGGTATTGCAAATGGGGTATGTCCAGTCTTTTTTAGTAACCACTTGGTCACAAACACTGGCCAAAATTAGCGTTCAATTTAGTTTTTTTACTTTTTTCACACACAAACAAATATGAATGCTTACTTTGGCCAGTGTTTTCGACTAAGTGGCTACTAAAAAAGACTGGACATACCCCATATTGAATACCCTGGGTTGTCTACTTTAAAAAAAATATGTACATGTGGGGTGTTATTCAGAGATTTATGACAGATAATAGTGTTACAATGTCACTATTGATAAATTTTAAAAATGTATGTTTTTAAACCGCAATATCCTACTTGTACCTATAGCCCTATAACATGCAAAAAAAAGCAAAAAAGCACGTAAACACTAGGTATTTTTAAACTCAGGACAAAATTTTGAATCTATTTAGCAGTTCTTTTCATTCGCTTTTGTAGATGAGTAAAAGATTTTTCAAGTAAAAGTCAAAAAACATGTATTTTTTTCAATTTTTCATCAGATTTTTGTATTTTTTTTAAATTAAAATACATGAGATTATATAAATAATGGTATGTAAAGAAAGCCCCTTTTGTCCTGAAAAAAACAATATATAATTTGTATGGGAACAGTAAATGAGAAAGCGGAAAATTACAGCCAAACACAAACACCACAAAAGTGTAAAAATATTCCTGGTCGCAAATGTACAACATCGCAAAAACAGTCCAGTCCTTAAGGGGTTAAAAATAATAATAAAATAAAAAATAATAACAAACTATTAATAAAACAAAAAAATTATTAAAATAATTTAAAAAAAATAATAATAAAAATGCCCACCCCCCACCAAGGCTCTGCAACACACACACACACACTGCATTCATACACACACACACACACTGCATTCACACACACACTGCACTCATACACACACACACACTGCATTCATACACACACATACACACACACACTGCACTCATACACACACACACTGCATTCATACACACACACACACACACACACATACTGCATTCATACACACACACTGCACTCATACACACACACTGCATTCATACACACACACACACTGCACTCATACACACACACTGCACTCATACACACACACTGCACTCATACTGCATTCATACACACACATACTGCATTCATACACACACACACACACTGCATTCATACACACACACACACTGCACTCATACACACACACTGCATTCATTATATACACACACTGTAAATAAATATTCAATTAATATAATTTTTTTAGGATCTAATTTTATTTAGAAATTTACCAGTAGCTGCATTTCCCACCCTAGGCTTATACTCGAGTCAATAAGTTTTCCCAGTTTTTTGGGGTAAAATTGGGGGCCTCGGCTTATATTCGGGTCGGCTTATACTCGAGTATATACGGTAAGTCATATATATATTGTAACAAACCACCTTTTTTACAGGTAGGATTGTGTCACAGGTCTTACGGTAGCCACAGCCTTCTACGATAATCCAAGTCCAGGACACATCCAGCTCCATTTTCCTGATTTATTTGGTGCAAAATATACAGGTGCTTCAAAATAAAATAAACAAAATAAAACTCCTTGCTCTTGTTTGAGCACTTACTAAACAGAGTAATCACTAACTGAAATTGGGTGGCTTTCCCACTTAACAATAACAAAATATACATGCAAGACACACCATTCCTCTGCCTTTTAGCTCTCCTAGCTGGCTTTTCTCCCTCTCTCTGCAGCAGGCTGATCCCTTCTTTTAAAAGCCTGCCAGCTAATTGACCAGCTACCGGTGAGTATCAATTAGTTCACATCTCTGGAACTCCTAAGGTATACACAAGTCCTGGTCTGGCTGTTATATAGCAACTAGGCCCTGGGGAGATAGCGCAGCTAAGCGGACAAGGGCACATGTAGGAGTGTGGGGATAGATGCATGGGATTGGTTGGGAAAGAGTGTGTGGGTGGGATTATGTTCTGTGTAAGTTAGTGTGGGGGAGGTCTTACCTCAGTGCCACTTGGGATTCGGGCCAGCAAACAGCTTCCTGTCTTCCGGCTCCTGTTTGCCTGGGCCTGCAGGTTTACCACCTTGAGGGATGAGGCTGAGACCTACTGGCTTCCCTCAGAGCTGCTGCAGCGTGGATGGTGGCTATCTACTCCTGATTCAGGTGCTCCCCTCTCCCTGACTCCTCTCCCCTGGGGAGACTGCCGGTGTGGGCTCTCCTCCCTGTGGCCTGTCTCCATCTGGGGCCTTCCCTGTGGCCCCTGCTCCCCTCTCCACTGGGTGGCTGCCGGTGTTTGTGCTCCCCCCCCACAGCCTAGGGCAGCACAAAACCAGGATACACCACTGCTCTTCGGTCTTTTTAAGAATATTAACGGTCTTTAATCCATCAAAGGTTTACAGGTTGTTTGATCAACTGTAAACCTTTGATGACAAGAACAACCTTGTGCGCCAACAGCAAGACCTTTGGTCCTTTGTCCAATATTCTGTATAGATATGACCATAATGATGTCAGAGTATAACTCTAGCCAAATAAGGACAAGACCCCCAACCCACATTCCAGAGTTCTCAGACAAAGAAAGCCTTGTGACTTATTTATACCATCTGTTACTTATGTCAATGCAGACATCCATACATAATAAATAGAAAAATAGAATATGCAATATTCTACACAGAGCTAGAAGGGGAGGGTTGCAAAGGCTACAGACGAGAGACCTGAAGCTATTGCATGCTGTTTTAGATACACCACTAATGAAAAGAATGTGTAATCGAATGCATGAAAGTGCAGTACATATTTAAGCTTACTTTTGTGTTTGGGCTTAAATACCTTTTCATTTATTACTCAGGTTATTGTCTCTGAACATGGTGACCGCACAGCAGGGAGCTGCCGCTAATGGCCACAACGGCTTCCCGGAACCGGCAGAGCAGCCGAAGATTCCGTTCGCGGCATTCAAGCCGTTCGTGGAGAACGAGATGGGGATAGACGAATTTTCAGCCGATTTTGAAAGACAATGTGCACTACATCAAATACCCGTTACAGCGTGGCCGCGTATCCTGGCAGGGAAGTTAACCGGGCGGGCCATGGAAGCCTTCAGGACACTCAGCGCCGAAGAAGTAGCCCAATACCCCACAGTAAAGGAAACGCTACTGAAACGGTACGCCGTGACCCCAGACACTTACCGAAGGCAGTTCCGCAACACGAAGAAGAAGGCAAATGATACCCATGCCGAATGGGCCCACCGAATGCGGAGGGCTGCTACCCATTGGATTAACGAGTGTCGGGCCATCATGGCAGCGGAAATCTTAGAGCTATTTTTGTTGGAACATTTTTATGAGGGACTAGAGCAGAAAGACCGAGAGTGGTTGAAAGATCGACATCCCAACAACCTGAACGAAGCAGCAAGGCTGGCGGACGAACACCGGGATGCTCAGGTTCAGGAGTGCAGTATCTCCCGAACGATAGCCCGTCCCGAAACACGAGAGGTGTACCGAACAACCCCACAAACGGAGTTTCGCACGCCTGTACCAGCGGGACCTACACGATACACTGGACCACCCAGCCACTACAATCGAGCGCTCCCGTCCCACCTGTTACAAGTACAAACAACCGGGGCACCTGATTGCTAGTTGCCCCCTCAACAACAACTACCCCACACGGAACTATAATTCGTCCCCGTCGGGAAGTAATCGCCCAGCCCGCGCTTTTTGCATTGAGCAGGACAGCCCTTTAGAGGAATATCTGGGACCCCTGCATAAAGCTAACCCCGTGTATGCCGCAAGTGACTTTAGGCAACATCACAGACAAGAAGTGCTACTGGAGGGTCATCCCACCCAGGGATTAAGAGACACAAGGCCGATTAGTCCCCGAGCACAAGCGCTCCACCGACACTGTCGCAGTTCGGGTGGCTGGGGGGGACATATACAAGCTACCCACAGCGAAAGTACATTTGGATTGGGGTGCGGGAAAAGGACTGGTGAGGGTGGGGATTATGGATAACCTACCGGCTGAAGTTTTGCTGGGAAACGACCTAGATCCCATGACCTCAGCATATGCACCTTCCTACAACTCCGAGGCACATCCAGTGACTACCCGGTCACAAGCGGGGAGAGCTCGAGACCCTTCACCAGTGCGGGAGACTCAGGTAAGACTTAACCTGACTGTGACCACCCGTCCTTCCCCATTACCCTGGGACACCCCTGCAGTCTTTGAGGCTGAGACCAAAACTGATCCGATGCTCCAAAAGTATAGGGAAAGAGCCGATACAGGGACTGAGGGATCAGACCATGAGACTTTCGCATGGGAACAGGGCCGACTGTACCGACACACAGAGAAGAAGGGTAGGCAAGAGAGGAGACCACCCCAAGGCACACCTCGTTAACATGCCCATTATCAACGAGCCGTTTAGCCGGGTAGCCATCGACTTAGTAGGGCCACTGGCCACTCCCAGTCCATCTGGTAAGAGATATATTCTTACCATCGTGGACTATGCTACCCGCTACCCGGAAGCCGTGGCTCTATCTAACATACAAGCAGACACTGTGGCTAATGCGTTAGTACAGGTATTCTCTCGGGTAGGATTCCCTCGGGAGATCCTATCCGACAGGGGGACCCAGTTCACGGCAGAGCTAACCCAGCAGCTATGGCATGTCTGCAAGATAAAATCTCTCCTCAGCTCCCCGTATCACCCTCAGACCAATGGGCTATGTGAGAGGTTCAACGGAACCCTCAAACAAATGTTAAAAACCTTCACTCAGGAGTATAGGGACTGGGAATGTTTCCTGCCGCATCTCCTGTTTGCTTACCGGGAGGTGCCCCAGGAAACCACCGGATTCTCTCCCTTTGAGCTGCTGTACGGACATAAGGTGCGGGGTCCCCTGAACCTTATCTGTGAGCACTGGGAGGGAGAGACAGAGAACGCTGGGGTCCCCATCGTACCTTACGTGCTGGAGCTGAGGGACCGTATGGAGCAGTTGGCCAAGTCCATCCAGGCCAACCTCCAGGCGGCCCAGGGGCGACAGAAAGTCTGGTACGACCGGGGGGCACGGCGGTGGAGCTTCTGTATAGGACCGAAGGTTATGGTACTCAAACCCGTTAAAGCAGACAAGCGGCAAGCAGCCTGGCAGGGGCCTTACCAGATAGTGGAGAAGAGGGGGGACACTACCTACGTGATTGCCAGCTGTCACGATGAGAACATACGGAAGATATTCCACGTAAATATGCTGAAGGAATACCTACAGAGGCCAGTGGAGGTGTCAGCCATATGTAGTCCCGCGTTTGAGGACCCAGATAGTCTCCCCATACCCGACTTATTGACCCCCAATTCCCCGTCTGAAGTAGTGAACCAAGTACAGATCGGGGACCGACTTAACCCAGTAGAGAGAGAGCAGCTCCACAACCTGCTCCGAGAGAAACAGGCAATGTTTTCTCAGGAACCGGGGTGCACCGATCTGGCCACCCATCAAGTAGATACCCCACGGGCAAACACCTTTAACCCCTTAAGGACACATGACATGTGTGACATGTCATGATTCCCTTTTATTCCAGAAGTTTGGTCCTTAAGGGGTTAAGGCAGGCCCCCTACCGAATCCCGGAGGCAGTTAGGGCAGGCATGAAGAAAGAAATAGATGAGATGCTCCGGCTAGGGGTCATTGAAGCTTCCGATAGTCCCTGGGCATCCCTGGTGGTTCTGGTACCCAAGAAAGATGGCACTACCAGATTTTGTGTGGACTATCGGAAGCTCAATGACAAAACCGTCACCGATGCGTATCCCATGCCCAGAGTGGATGAGCTGCTGGACCGCATAGCCAGGGGAAACTACCTAACTACCATTGACCCCTGTAAAGGTTATTGGCAAATCCCTCTGGCCAGGGAAGCTGTCCCCAAGTCGGCATTCGTCACCCCGTTCGGCTTATACCACTTTAAAGTTATGCCATTCGGGATGAAGAATGCCCCCGCCACATTCCAGCGCTTGGTGGACAGACTCCTTGATGGCTTCCAGGAATTTGCCTGTGCATACCTGGACGACATAGTGATCCATAGTGAGTCCTGAGAGGAACACCTAGCTCATGTAGGAATTGTAGCGGATTGCACCAGGCGACCCTACAAAAATACTGTATAAAGCTGCATCCGTGTATCTGCTGTATTTTCTGTGTATTGAAAAAGAATTGTATTCCTCTGATTGTTCGGTAGTTTCATTCCCTTAGTTTATTCGAATGAAACTACCGAACAACCAGACCTCCCTGTGTGAAGTGTGTCCTCAATTACCCGTTGCAACATTGTTGCGAACGGGTAATTGAACAGTAAGTAGCCGTCCTTTGTTCTCGGGGGTGGCCGCCATTCGACAAACGAACACGTGGCGGCGGCCATTTTAAAACTCCCGAACAGCGGTGTTTTGCCGTCGAGTGCCTGGAACTAAAATCGGACACTCGAGTAGGCGAACACCGCTGAGACCTCCACAGCCCTGGTCCGTTCGGTTCCAAACTACCGAGCGGCCCCTCGTTCGGTAAATAGAGAATACCGAACGAGGGGATTCAGGCGAACCCTCCCTAGCCTCTATAGCTAGAGGCTTTCGTGTATTTTATTCCCTTATGCCAGGACCGACCGCAAGGCCCATTCACATGGAACCGAATTCGGCTAGCTCTGTTCGTGCGGTCGGTCATTTTATTCCCTCCATACTTTTCCCGAACCCCTGGTCCGATCTGGGTGATTTTTGGATATGTTGTTCACCCAGATCAGGGCTACCCGGGGATGTATGATTTAAAGGGGTACCCCTACGTTTAGGGGTACATCCAGAAATGGGGGGAATTGGTGTGCTGGCTAAGGGGATTATGATGCTGGCTGAGGGGAGGGGATGTGTGGGAGGTTACCAGGACAGGATTGGCTACTGTAATAATTACTGTAAATCCCTCCCTTGCATGGGAGCATGCTTTATAAGGAGACTGTGATTAAAGGCTTGTCAGTTATGCTCCTGAAACTGTGTGTCGTCCAGTTATTGGGATTGCTGTTGGGATATTGCTGTATTTTACCTGCTGGAAACCCTGCCTTTGGATTTACTATTTACTTGTTCCTGAGTCTCACTTGGATTATAAGCGGAGATAACCTGGGTACTATTGCATCTCCGCTACATTGGTTGGCAGCGCTGGGATCCAGACTCACAGAGGAACAAGCCTAAATGGAGTACGGATGGAGATTGATTTTGCCACACTAAAACGCTCCACGCTAAAAGACCTTCTGGAGGCAAAGGGTATACAAGCCAGCAATAAGACAAAAGCGGCACTTATCACTGAACTGATGGCGGAGTACCGAATGGAAGGCGATTCGGTTCCCGAACAAGGGAATTCGGGAGAAACACCGGAACAAAGGGAGTTCCAGAGGCAGGTACAATTTCGGCTGTCTTTCTATGGGGAACACCCTCCAACAGAGATTATTTCCAAAACGATAACGGAGGTCCAGGAGTTTATACTGAGGAGTCAAACAGCGGCCCCAGAACGCAGCTCTGCAGTAAATATGCCACATGAAGGTAAGCCGAAAATACCGTACCAGGCTTTTAAAACATATGTGGAGGCAGAGGAAGATATAGACTCTTTCCTGCAAGATTTCGAGAGACTGTGTGCACTGCATAGAATCAGCGCAGAGGACTGGGTACCCATTTTGGCAGGAAGGTTAACTGGGAGGGCAGCTGAGGCATACCGGACTGTATCGAATGATGAAATTCGGAATTATCACAAAGTGAAAGAAATTATACTGGCCAGGTATGCTATAACACCAGAAGCATACCGGCGGAGATTCAGGGATCTAAAGAAGGTGGAGAAAGACTCACATGCTGAGTGGGCATGCAGACTACAACGAGCAGTCTTGGGGTGGGTGCAAGCGAGCAAGGCACAGTCTATGGAGGATGTATTGCAAATGGTACTGCTGGAGCAATTTTATGAAGGAGTAACCAGCGAGGTACAGGAGTGGGTAAGAGACAGAAACCCTACCTCCCTTACCGAAGCAGCCAGGAAGGCAGACGAGTACCTGGATGCACGCAGGCAGCAAAAACCTGCAGCTCCAAAAGTACCTTTTAAAACCTTTGGGGGAAATAACTACACGCCAGCTCTACCAAGGTCACTGCCACCACCACCACCACCCGCTACACAGCCACGTTTCCGCCAGCCCACGTCGGGCCCTTGCCACCACTGCCAGAAGTGGGGACATTATAAAA